GAATGGCATGCAGCTCATCATAGAAGCGGCATGTCTGGGGCTCTGACCCGGAGCTGCCATTTGCCTCTCTGGTTCTTTGGTAGGCTTCTCACGGCACTGCTGCGGGTCCCTGTTATAACCTCTGTCCTTCATGCCCTTGGAGATATTTTCAAATATTCCGGCATTTCATCTTTTGGAACGGAGTTCGTATAGCACGGATTAATCTCCCCATACACCGATCAGATCCAGTACCTCCCATTCGGTCCATGCTGGAGCTCTTTTGCGATTCTGGGACTGCAAGGTCACCAGTGCTGATGAGCTCTGCTTGGTCACCTGTGCTGATCACCTCGCCACGCTGGCCAAACAGAAAATGAAATTCAAAAGTTTGCAGGGCTTTTCCTGTCTACCTGGCCAGTGCATCGGAGTTGAGAGTGCTGTCCAGAGCGGTCACAATGGAGCACTCTGGGATAGCTCCCGGAGGCCAATACCGTCAAATTGCGTCCACACTACCCCAAATTCGACCCAGCAAGGTTGATTTCAGCGCTAATCCACTCGTTGGGGAGGGGTACCGAAATCGATTTTAAGAGCCCTTTAAGTCGACAAAAATGGCTTCGTCATGTGGACGGGTGCAGGGTTAAATCGATCTAATGCTGCTAAATTCGACCTAAGCTCGTAGTGTAGACCAGGGCTTAAGACTAACAAATTTATTTGGGCATAAGCTTTCGTGGGCTAGAACCCACTTCATTGGATGCATGAAGTGAAAAATACAGGAGCAGGTATAAAACATGAAAGGATGGGGGTTGCTTTGCCAAGTGTGAGGTCAGTCTAACAGGATAAATCAATTAACAGCAGGATACCAAGGGAGGAAAAATAACTTTTGAAGTGGTAATGAGAGTGGCCCATTTTGAGTGGGGAAGGAGCACCTTAGACTTACCCTCAGGCCTACCCTGAAGACACAACCAAGGGAGCACCGAAGGGGGAAGACAAACCCTGCCTGAGTGGGACTGATTACCCCAGGCCCACCATCACCAGAGGGGAGAAACGCTAAGGCTGGCGAGAGAAAAGAGGTGCCTTGCCACAATGCCAAATTACCAAACTGTTTTAAAATTCTCTGTGGGGCAAATCCGGCCAAAGAACAAACCTACCCAGTACCAGCCTTTGAGACATCCTGATGAACTCTTTCAGTACCTACTTTCCCCCAATTATGAGGTTTCATCCTGTGAGTTTATCAACAATGAAACAGCTTGCTTGTCTTGGAAATATGCAAGAGATTGCTACACAGTCTCTGGCAATACAAACATGGTCGTAGCTTGTTTCACCGCCACTTACGCCTGCTTTGAACTATACAACCTGTGAGACAATTTGCAAGAGCAGTGCCTGTATCATGACACAGAATCGGTGATATTTGTGAAAAGGGAGGGAGACTGGAACCCCACTCCTGGGGGATTATTTAGGGTACCTCATGAGTAAGATCCTGGCAGGCAAACCCATCACAGAGTTTGTGTCAGCAGGTCCAGAAATGTATTAGTACAGGCTGCCGGAAGGGAAGACCTGCATAAAAGTCAAAGGGATTACCCTCAACATAGCAAATTGTGAAAAGATCAACTTTGACAGTTTGAAAGATCTAGTCTTGGACTATCGCACAGACCTGAGTGAGAATATCCCAACAAAAAGATAGATGTGCAGCAGTCCTCTATTGCAAGGAACAAAAATCAGTGGCAAATAGAAACAAAGATCCTTAAGAAAATGCAAAGTCATTTACAACAAGAGAGTCATTGAGAGAGATTTAGAACCCTACCCTACGGCTTTTGAAAATGGATATGCAGTGGGAACACACTTTTTCTGTAATTCTTGTAGGGCCTAGCAACTGTGGGAAAAGTTAATTTATTAAAAATGTGTTGGATAATATTGAGCAAATGTTATCTGTTATGCCTGAGAATACTGGGTGGTGTTACAGTTGCTGGTGTATAAAGGATTATTTTGTAAATACCCTTTCATCAATTTTGTGGAGGGGTTGCCTGATTTTTTTTTTAACAATGACTGTTTCTTACCAATAAAGTAAATATGGTTGTTGTAGATGATTTGATGAACTCTGCAGGGCCAGCTCTGGCTTTTTTGCCGCCCCAGGCAAAAAAGCCTCCCACTGCCCCCCACCTCCCAGCGGAGAGCGCGGCAGGGGAGGGTGGCGAGCCCGGCTGCAGGCCCGCTCTCCCCAGCCAGCCGGAGCGCCAGGAGGA